GCTTAAGGGCCTCCTCCACTCACCCGAAGTTGGTTGTAGAGCGATCGAATCTGCTGCAATTGTTTTCCCACCCAACTGCGTCTCCCAGCATAGGCTTCCCATGTTCGAAAGAGAAATTCAAGGAGTAGATCCAGTTGTTGAAATCCCTCCGTTACGGTCCCTAAGCGTGGGATAATGTCTCGCAGGCACAAAGGCGGCCACTCCGACCCGCTGGGGTAGAACGGAGCCGTCTTGATCGCAGATTGGGGAACAATGTCGGGAGAAACAGTTCCAAGAATCCGTGGTTGGATTGAGTTCTCACACTCTAAGGCGCTTTCAAAGTTGCTCAATAGCCCCGAACCACAAATGAATCGATAAAATTCGGGGCAGCGCAGAGGACAGGGAAGAGAGAGTAGAGGAGCTGTCAATCGTGTCGAAGGATCGCAAAGATCCGAAGTGTTCAGAAGACGTGAGTATAGCTGATGAACCCACATTCTTTCATCCTGTTCTTCACCTTCCCTAGCCCCTGCATCTTCAACGATTTGGTCGGCCAGCAATGCAAATGGGAAGAAACCTGTTCTAGTTGGGAGTTCTGCAATCCGCCCGGCAGCTAAGAACTGTTGAGTTTTTGTCAAGCCCAAATGAACGGTTTCCAGAGAATGGGCCTTCCCTTTCCGACGAGAATAGTAGTTTCGGAGAAGAAATAGTCGAAGTTGGTGACTGCCATATATCAGGCGATTCTCCATATCCTGCAGAACATAAAATTGACAGGATGTAAGATCAATCGAGGAGTGAAAGGGTAGACAGGAGGCATGTAGAAAGGCTCACTTCTTCCATCTCTCTGCGTTTGACAGGAGGAGGCGAAGCCAATGAAGTTGGACGTCTGCCACGCTTTGCCTTCTTCATTTCTCGTTGCTTAGATCCCTCCAAGTGGTCTATAGGCTTTACACCCTCGCCTTCCTCCCGCGCTTCTAGACTAGTCATGCATGGAGGTTTGAGTTCGATAAATATATCTGGAGCTCTAAAAAAGAAGGAAGAAAGGAAGACTGGCTTAGTCCTTCACGTGGATTGGAAGGTGGAAGACAATGCAAGACAGCTTACACAGCCGCTGGTTTCTTGTCCTCCAGATCCACAATAATGGGTTCTGGAAAGAAATGAAATGAAATTAATGAAATTAAATCAGAGAGAATAATAGACCCTTTAAAAGAACCTTTACCTTCGACAGAAGGACGTGGATGTTTCGGTGGACGCCCACGGGGTTTGGGAGCTGCCCCAGTTAAGGGTAATGCAACTGCCTTCTTCGGTTTTCGTCCGCGTTTAGAGGGAAGGGCAATCTCTTCTTTCTTCACATCCATCGCATCGACCGTGGTTAGATTAGAAGTGATTTCCGCCTCCTCAACAATCGAAAGCATTGATGTGGAGTTGATTGAGGATGCAACCATGCTAGCGAAACCCATGGCCGCGGCCTGAAAAGGCGAGAGATGTTGAAAGGAAATAATCGGGCGGAAACCACTCTCACCTTTAATCAAACAATGGGAGTCGTTCAGAAATTTTTACCAAAATGGCGGCGTACCTCTCGTTTTGGTCGCCCACTGGGGGAGCACGTCCTTTTACTCGGTCGTCCTAAAACGAGGAAAAGGGTTCGTCCATTATCCTTTTTGTAAATGAAAAGAAATCCTGCGCCAATGAAAGCCCAACCCTCACCTCTAGGTCTTCGTTTTGCAGTTGGGATAGGAGCAGCCGCTGTTGAGACCGCTGTTACACCAACAGTTGAAGCCAACGCATTACTCTGATGATGTTGGTCACCGTGAGGGGAAATCGACTCCAAGGCATTACCATCGTCCATGTCCTGGACACCAAATTGCAGAGCCTTATTCCCACCTTCCGTGTTGTCATTGTGAAGGTGGTGACTGATTGAAGTAGAGGCAGTGGCAGCAGATGTCACTTCCCCACTTTCTCCACCACTGCCTACGACCTTGTAGCGCTTACGAGGGGGCAAAAGCGGCGATGCCAGGGTGGGAGAGGCCTGAGAAGCCTCCTGTTCAAGCGTGGCAGCAGTGTCAAGGGCTGAAGGTGGTGACGAAGATGAGGGTGGATGGAGCGAAGGAGAGGCTGCTCTACGTTTCCGATTCCCAAAGGCTCGATTCTTGCTTCCAACACCTCGATTGGGAGAGAGACTGAACGTGTGATGAGGTTCCTACACGAACCATTGAAGAAAAGACGTAAATAGCAAAAGACTCCACATGCTGCAACTATCTAGGAATAGCAGTAGATGGGTGGATGAAAAAATGTAACAGGTAGTTCGTAAGGGGCAGACATTAACTCGAAGTCTAAGCAAACCAGTGCGAGATGAAACTTACGCCCTTCTCAGCTACTGCTCCTTCAGTAAAAATGGATCCGGTTATCTCCGATCCTGTAGTTGAAGATGCAACACCAGAGGCCTCAAAACCCATCGCTACAGAATTCGGTTGAGGGAGGTGATGGTGAACTGACTCCGTTTCAGTGAAGGACCCAGAGCTAGCCGGTCCTGTGGAGAAGCGTCGACTTCGCCCGCGCGTTGTTCGTTGATCGGAGGCCTCGTCACCCGTCCCACTAGAGACAATTTGCAACGAGAGTGGCGAAGTCGGATCTCCAGCTGATGCAGCCATTGATGCGAAATCCCCACCTGAACCTGAAGGACCTCCAGATTCCTTCAGAAGAATAATGGAGGAAACAACAAACAGCCCATGTAAGAATAAAACATCATCTTTATCGTAAATGGGGCATTCGAACGAATGACCAGTGCAATTGTATGCCATCTTGAGTAATGCCCGAGTTGTCTGGAGAGGTATGTATATTTCTTTCACTAGCCACGTTTAACCAAGCTTAATAAAGTAGTCCAAAGTGACCGTAATTTTCTCGGCTCTCCACCCCAACGAAAGTAACCTTTCACTAACCTGTTATGTCCTATCTTTATTCGTGCAGTAACCAGGAGAGTTAAAATACCTATGCTTATCCAAGGTAACCGTGAAAATGAAAGCGAGCACTCCTTTAACACACACAAGTATTTAACACTAATTTTAGAGTGCAGCCATTACAAGCACCAATACCAAAATATGAATAGACAAGTTAACGAGTAGCTTCACTTGCAGCTAAGGTTCAAACACCAAAGCCGCATCTACGCATGAACTTGTGTAGTCAAATGAGAAAGTAGAATGCATACTTGACTAGCTTTCATCATGGTGTCCCAAGTGAGAAGAGCTCTTAGCTCTCTCGGTGTTCCAGCCGAATTCCGTCGCGGCTTCACTGGCGTCTTCACCGGCATCACGGGCTGCGCAGTTAAAACATCTGTTGTGTTGGTAGTTAGGTCCAACAAGATAGGAGACTTTGACATTGCTGGAACTGCCACAGGAGCTGATGATTTCGGTGGTCTTCCTCGGCCGCGTTTGCACGGTGATGAGAGGACAACGTGATTGTTGATACTCTCACTATTACCACAAAAGCCGTTCGCCTCATTGGGAGCAGCAGCAATGGTAGGAGGGGCGCAGGCGGGAAGAGGCGAAAAAATGATAGAAGACGGAACATCAAGTGGTTGAAACAGCCTTGACACGGTGGTTGATGGCTCCAAGATGCCATTTACAGCTTTCTAGAAACAAAAACCCCAAGGATATAATAGTCGGAACTAAAATTTGAGAATAAAAGGAGGCCTACAAGAAAACGTCGAACACAGCGTGGAGTCAGCTGTTTCAGTTGAGTGGTGGGGGATTTTAGTCGGTTGGGAAGGCCACCAAAAGGGAGACAGAGCGGCGTTAATGATGCGACAGTAGGCTTCGGGGCCGGACCAAGTGAAGGAATTTTGCCACGGCGACTGCCGCCACGACCCTTACCACCGCGAGGAGATGACATAGACGGCAGTGGTGGTGGTGGTGGTGGTGGTGGGGGTTTTGATGGATCAGCTGCCACGGGAACAGGATGGAGTTCACAAGGACCGACGCCACAATTGGATCGAAAAATGTCCGAAAGTTCGTTCATGTTGGCGACGAAGGACTCGTCAATAACAGCGCGGGTTCTGCGGCTCGATTTGATCAATGCCTTGCGTTCACGTTTGGCTAACTTCCTTGGTCGATCAACTTAACACAAATGGAAGACCAAGTATGCTGTCGCTCAACTAGCTTATATATATTCATACAACTTTTAGTTATTAACGACGAAAAAGTAAGAATATGCATGACTGTAAACAGGTCCTCAGACATTTAATCCTTAAGAAATAATTCACGAGCGAAAATGGGAGAAATTCTTGACTAACAAAGGAATATGAATATGTAACTCACTGTTATCGTTTGGGGAAATATAGGCAGGGTGGGTTGTTGCGTTTGCAGGTGCACCAACTGAAATAAAGTAGCCAATGGAAACATTTCGGTGAATTATAGAGGGACAAGGGAGATAACATACCAGAATCAAGGGGCTGAACAGGTTTGGAATTAAAAACAGGAGCAGTATGACCCTGGTACATATCCTGATCGCTGCTCGAGGTTCGAGAATGATCCGGAGATAGGGAGTGGTTGTGATTTTCCTGTGAAGGAAGAGAAGGAGGAGGAAGGGACGCAGACGCAGGTGATTTTGAAGGAGGTCTACCACGACGACCAACACATTTAATTGGTGTCGATGAAGGTGATTTTGCGAGGCCACCACCAATGCTACCTCGCTTTTTGTTTTTTTTGGGCCGCATTGTGAGTAAAGGAAACCTGCATGTTAAACAGATACAAATGACGCTAGAAACCAAACGTAAAAAAGTTCATTAGCCAAAAAAACAACTACAATCAGATATAAAGCAATAAACGAAAATGGTCCACATGAGGAATCAAGGCAAAAGACAGAAATATTTTGTGGGTTTTAGACAAAATGTAGACCAGAGACAAACAAAACACGAAACACCCTATAGGAATCCCAATTTGAACAACGATAATGCAAGGGTATGACGTCACAAACCAGATTCGATAAATAGGTGCAAATAATGCACGTCCACTCGGTTAAAATCCACTGATAATAAAACACCCTTAAATTACTAAAAGCAACTGTGCGCCAAAACATGTAATCAAAAAGATTAAACAATTATTTTTATACGGCTCATAGATGCCTGTATGATGAGTAATTTTTAGCTTGTATCCAAAAACGTTATAATTTGTAATAATAACAAATATTTACGGCTATTTTCATGATGCATGCTAGTTTTATGAAGCAACAACCTGGTATCATCGTCATTATTTTTTACTTTATAAACCTTGTTCAATAAATCCGAAATTTGGTGTTACTTTGTACAGATGTTTGTCAGTGTGGCTGATGGTAACTTACAGCGCCATTTGACTCCTCTCCACACAAAGAAGGTATTAAGAAGAGAAAGTGTAAGACCTATGATTTGCTCTCAGACTTCTAGGTCTGAAAATTATTAGAGAATTGGTTGCGGAAGGTTTAATGAGTATTTTATCCATAAAGGATAAAAGAGTAACGATAAGACGATAAGCCAATCTCACTCCTAGAACGTTTCTTCACTTTTCGCTTTAAGTCGATTTTTGTTCGAATTGCTTGACCATATTCACTCTATGAAGGCCAATTAAACACATTATGTATATTGCACTAGAACATTGGCACAATTCGAAGGCCAGGACATGCACACATATGGAGGACTATTCCTAAATAAAACAGCAGTCATATATTTGGTTGCAATGTACATTTATTTTCGGTTAAACGGAGACCATGTTGTGCTTTGTTTATGCGACTACTGGACGTTTGGCCGTCATTTTAGAATTTGTTTGGCTCCTGTGCACGTTGGCTGGCCTTCGGGTCACGTTCAGGCCTGAGCTTAGCACGAAGTCCAGCATACGGGTACACTACCCACCTTTTCTGCGCCATCCATCACAACATCATCGCCGATACTGCTGCCGCTGCTGCCACAAAGAAGCCACGAGACAGCCGCGACACTCAACAGCTATCATGGGACTGAGGAACGATACTTGGTCTCCTCAGCAGCTTCAACTGGACCTGGAGTTATCTCTTGAGCATTAAAAACGGCATCAGCCACAGTCTTGCATGTAAGAAGATCCGTGGTAGTGTCTTTCTGAGACCTATCCACGGATACAATGTGGGACATTTCACCCTAAACCTTTTCCAGACGGTCCATGGTGGTGTCAATCCTGTTGATAATAACTTGTCTGTGGAACTCGGGGACAGAGTGAAGTCAAACGCAGACATCTGTCACAACCCTTTTGTTATGAAAAGTTTAGCGGTTCTTCCGCATTCAGTGCAAGTGCGCCCCCTCCATACCGTTGGTACCTGCAAAAAACCATAC